TGGGCAGAAGGGTGCATGGTACACCAATAGAATCCCCAATCTGTCTCGTTCGCCCAACACCAAGTAGAGGCACTCCAGCCCTGGTCTCGAAGGGACCGGAAGACCTGTGAGAGAGATGGAGGCTCGGTAAACCAACGCGACTCCCCCTCCCCTCCCTTCTGGGCGTGAACAGTGTTGAACCAGATACCCGGGCGGGCACAATTGGGAGAGGGCAACATCCCCTCCCTCCCCCTCCCCCAGGTCTCCGTTATGCAAGCCAGGTCGGCCCCCTCATCCACAATCAAGTCATGGATGAGGGAAGATTTATTATTGACTGACCTGGCATTGAGCAGGAGCACCGTCAGGCCCGAGGGGTGGTTGACAAGGCTACCTGGCGCCCTCTGGTTGGGGGCAGAACCAGAAGGAGGGATAGGTGTCAGCCATCTGTCCATCCTTCTTCTATGTGGACACGTTAAGCCCCTATTGCTGTAACGACCATTGCCTGTGACCACGCCAATAGCAGCGCCCATGTGTTCCCCAGGATAAATAAACGTCAACATGGCCAGGGATGACTCAAAGCACTGATTAAAGCAGGGTAAAATTATAAAGCAGTTCGAAAGAGGAGAAAAAAGAACGATAAAAAGAGAAAAAAAAATCCTTCCCCTTCCCTAAGATTCAGCGGTAGGCAAGCCTATTTCAACAAGAGTCCTCTGATGCACTTTGAAAATCTATTAGTTAATAACAGAAATCAGTAAAAAAAAATAAGTGCAGAGCACATGCTACAAGAGGGGGCCTTCCATATTGCTGGAAATCTTAAATAATGTCTAAAGCACTTGTCCTCCAGTTTTAATCAAGTCAAAATATTCTGAATTCCATGACCACGCAGATACCCCATTGAAAATAACTCCTGCTCATTAACTATTTGAATACATTATTTTGTGTATGAATTTGGCAAAACTGAAACTGGGGCATGGAGAATGGAAAATGCAGGTGCCTTCTTCTTGCTTGGCAATTCTTGCAAGTTGTTACCCACATGTTTCTTTCCACCTGAGGTCACACACCTTGGTTTATTATGTGAGAGCATGCAGCTCCCCATCTGACTTTTCTGGACCCCAAAAAAGGAAGAATTTTGAGGGGCCAACAGTAGGATCATCCACCTTACTGTTACCAATAAGCATTTTTAATGCACTGGATGAAAATAGGTACAGAAGCCAGTTTCTCTCTCTCTCTGCTTCACATCTTCATCCTTAGCCTTTTGGGCAGTGGTGGCCATCACCATGAAGAATGCCAATGCCTCACTGGTATATTCTTTTCTCTACAAAGTGGTAGAAGTAAGCAACTATTATCATATTTTCAGGGGGAAATGGGGCACTATGGTGGGAAAGGCTGGTGCTTCCTTCTCTCTTGAAAGGAGTAGCAGCAAGTTGTTATTCCCTGTGTTTCTTGCTGCTTTAAAAATGGCTTAGAATAGACATCACCAGCCACCCTCTACCCGCAATGCTCAGTTCTGTGTGAATCTGGATATATGGCCTTCAGGGGTTCTGAACCCTGCCATGATCCATCTGAGGACACTGATGTACCCAAAATGGTACAAGGAAGATGTGCTTGAGCCAAGCAGCTGAATGAAGCTAAATGTACCAAACCTTTTAAGGTTTATGCTAACTGTACAATGTGCATACTGGGGCAGCAGAATTCTCAGAGCTTGACTATAGAAATGATATACCTTCAGTTCTTCCATATTAAGTTTGGTTGGATTAATGTCTCCATCCTCTCCTTGTCAGGTCTTTTCTGAATACTTCAAAGAGCTGGAGGAAGAAAGTATCCGTGACAATTTTGTCATTGTGTATGAACTGCTGGATGAGCTGATGGACTTTGGGTTTCCACAGACAACAGATAGTAAAATCTTGCAGGAGTGAGTTGCTTGGCTTGTATATGTCTCACCCTGTGATCTGCCTATTTGCTCCTGTGCAGAAGGCTTGGCCAGAGATGCTGAGGCTAAATCTGGGACTGCCTGCAGGCCAAATCCATGCTTTGCCAGTGAACTGTGTTCCCCTCCATGCAGTGCAACTATGCATTTGCTGACATTCTGTGTCTGCTGTGGACTCTGTAAAGTGAGGTCAACAGCACAGGGAAAGCGAGATGCCTGTCTTAAGAGCTTGCTCTTGTTTCTTTTCACCACATTGCAGGTATATCACTCAGCAGGGCAACAAGCTGGACACGGGCAAATCCCGTGTTCCTGCCACTGTCACCAATGCAGTCTCCTGGAGATCAGAGGGCATCAAATACAAGAAGAACGAGGTCTTCATTGATGTAATTGAATCGGTCAACCTGCTGGTGAGTCCATGCAGGGATGCAGGTTATCTTTGGTTAGAGATGTGGAACAATATATAATGTGCCACCAGTACTAACATAAATATCACACCTGTGTAAGGAGCCTCTAGTATAAAGCCAATAGAATAAAGTGGTACAATGGAGTTTCACAGCCTAAGCATGGTGATACACCTTATAAATAAAGATCCATGCACATTTTCCTTTCTCTCTTTGAAAGAAGATTTGCTGTCTTTTAATATGAATATACACAGTTCTACACAGTTTCATTTAAGACACAGTAAAATTATATTCAGAGTGATAGACTTTAAACATCCATATCTATAAGTTATATTCAGTGCTGTGAGCTTACAAGGATGTTATGGCCTAAAACAGTAGTTCAACATTTGTAATGTAGAAATTAGAAAATTTACTTAAATACTAGGTGAGATCACTTGTGCTGTAGGTGTACCAATATATATCAAAACGTAATTTCTGAATAAGACCGGGTACGCACCCAGAGCCTAATAATTAATTTGCATAAAAGTGCTAGCCTTTCTTCTGAGTATACTTCATGGTGACCCTGCCCTTTGTGCCAGGTCTACCCATGAAGAGCTTTCCCCTGCAGTTGCTCTGAGCTAGATGTAGTTAGAGATGGTTGGTTTCCTAGATCAATGATGATACTCCAACTAGGATGTCTTATATTTCCCCCAAGCCAACTTTTTCTTCCTCTTTAGAGTATCAGCTCTGCAAAGATGTAGAAAGATCATCTATCATCAGCTTTCCCTTACCTGGTTCCTTCTGGATGTTTCAGGTCCCAGTATAAGAAATGTAATACATAAACTAAATAAAAATTCCTGACCATTGGCCATCCTGCCTAGGGCTGATGGGAGCTGGAGTCCCAAGTGTCTAGAGCATACCAGTTTGAGGAAGTTTTGCCCACATGTGGCATTTCAGCACTTGATGATTAAACTTTTCATTTACTTGGTCTGTGCATTCAATAATTTCAGTATGACTGTTTTTAGGGGGAAGGAGAAGCCAAGGGGTGGAGAGAGGCTTGTGGTCCCTCAGGTCCAGGCTCTGCTCTGTCTGTCTTTCAGGTCAATGCCAATGGGAGTGTCTTGCTGAGTGAGATTGTGGGGTCCATCAAGCTGAAGGTTTTCCTCTCAGGCATGCCAGAGCTGCGCTTGGGCCTCAATGACAGGGTGCTCTTTGAACTCACAGGACGTAAGTAATACAGGACCCTGAGGAAGGGACACCTGCTTCTTGGAAGTCTGGGCAGAGCAGGGGAGCAGCTCTTAACAGCATTGAGCAGGTCAACGGATCAAGACATTAGGCTAAGTAGAATCACTGTGGGTTTTGATGAACACTGGTGGATGCTCATCTTGTGGAGGTGATTTGTCTGGGCTCAGAAAGTTACCTGGGACATTAGCATTCCTCTGTGGAATGTATCAAGTTGGTCCTATAAAAAAGAGAGCTGCCAGGCATTTCCTTTAGCTCCAAGGCACCGAAGCTCATTCTATATGCTAGGATCAGGGGCAGGACTGAAGTTGAGCCATATCTGTGCATTTATGAAAAATGTGCCTTCTTTGGTTTGCCTTTAGCACACTACTGGATAACTCTAAGTTAGGAGCTTGTATTATTCTTGTTTCTTTGTTTTTAAATTTAGTCACAGATCTATATCTAATAATAATTCCCAAGCATAAAGTAGTAAACAATGAAACCCCATCATGGATCACTGCCTTGCCATGGCAAAGGGGCTTGCATCACACAATAAAGCTATGAGCTATGTCGTACAGGGGTGCCCAAGATGGACTGGTCATAGCAGAGAGCTCTGACAAAAGGTGATCCACTGGAGAAGAAAATGGCAACCCACTCCAGTATCTTTGCCATGAAAACCCCGTGGACAGTACCAAAAGGCAAAGAGATATGACGCCGGAGGATGAGTCCCTCAGGTCAGAAGGTGTCCAATGTGCTACTGGGGAAGAGCGGAGGGCTAGTACCAGTGGCACCAGAAAGAGTGAAACAATTGGGTCAAAGACAAAAGGACACTCAGTTGTGGCTGTATCTGGTGGTGAAAGGAAAGTCCGATGCTGTAAAGAACAATACTCCTTAGGAACCTGGAATGTAAGATCTATGAATCAAGGTAAGCTGGATGTGGTCAAACAAGAGATGACAAGACTGAACATCAACATCTTGGAGATCAGTGAACTAAAATGGACAGGAATGGGTGAGTTTAATTCAGATGACCATCAGGTATACTACTGTGGGCAAGAATCCCTCAGAAGAAATGATCTCAGTTTTCATAGTCAGTAAAAGAGTAGGAAAAGAAGTACTGGGATACACTCTCCAAAATGACAGAATGATCTCAGTTCAAATCCAAGGCAAACTGTTCAATGCCCCAACCACTGATGCCGAAGAGGCTGAAGTTGACCAGTTCTGTGAAGACTTACAACACCTCCTAGAAATAACACCAAAAATGATGTCCTTATCATCATGGGAGCATTGGAATGCTAAAGTAGGAAGTCAAAAGATAACTGGAATAACAGGCAAGTTTGGCCTTGGAGTACAAAATGAAGCAGGGCACAGGGTGGCAGAATTTTGTCAAGAGAATATGATGGTCATAGCAAAAACTCTTTCCCAACAACCCAAGAGATGACTCTACACATGGGCAACAAAGAAATCAGATTGATTATGTAGTCTGCAGCCAAAGATGGAGAAGCCATATTTAGTCTGTAAAAACAAGACCAGGACCTGTCTGTGGCTCAGATCATGAGCTTCATGTTGGAAAAATCTGGCTTAAATTGAAGAAAGTAGGGGAAATCACTAGGCCACTCAGGTATGACCTCAATCATATTCCTTATGAATATACAGTGCAGGTGACAAATAGATTTAAGAAATTAAATCTAATAGACAGAGTGCCTGAAGAACTATGGACAGAGGTTCGCAACATTGTACAAGAGGTAGCAACTAAAAGCATCCCAGAGAAAAAGAAATGCAAGAAAGCAAAATGGCTGTCTGAGGAAGCTTTACAAATAGGTGAGGAAAGAAGGGAAGTGAAGGGCAAGGGAGAAAGGGAAAGATACACCCAGTTGAATGCAGAATTCCAGAGAATAGCTAGAAGAGATAAAAATGGCTTCTTAAATGAACAGTGCAAAGAAATAGAAGAAAACAATAGAATGAGAAAGACTAGAGAAAATTGGAGATATTAAGGGAATGTTCCATGCAAAGATGGGCATGATAAAGCACAAAAATGGCAGGGACCTAACAGAGGCAGAAGAGATTAAGAAGAGGTGGCAAGATTACACAGAAGAACTAAACAAGAAAGATTTTAATGTCCCTGATAACCATGATGGGGTAGTCGCTGACCTTGAGCTAGACATCCTGGAGTGTGAAGTCAAATGGGCCTAAGGAGTCTTAGCAACAACAAAGCTAGTGGAGGGGACAGTATTCCAGCTGAGCTACTCAAAATCCTAAAAGACGATGCAGTTAAAGTGCTACACTCAATATGCCAGCAAATTTGGAAAACTCAGCAGTGGCCCCAGGATTGGAAAAGGTCAGTTTGCATTCCGATTCCAAAGAAGGGCAATGCCAAAGAATGTTCAAACTACCACACCATTGCACTCATTTCACATGCTAGCAAAGTTATGCTCAAAATCCTACAAGCTAGGCTTCAGCAGTACATGGACCGAGAACTACCAGAAGTACAGACAGAATTTCGAAGAGGCAGAGGAACTAGAGATCAAATTGCCAACATATGCTGGATCATGGAGAAAGCTAGGAAGTTCCAGAAAAACATCTACTTCTGCTTCATTGAGTATGCTAAAGCCTTTGATTGTGTGGATCACAACAAATTGTGGCAAGTTCTTAAAGAGATGGGAGTACCAGACCATCTTATTTGTCTCTTGAGAAACCTCTATGTGGGTCAAGAAGCAGCAGTGAGAACTGGACATGGAACTACTGATTGGTTTAGAACTGGGAAAGGAGCATCCCTGTTGGCCAATTCTGGAAATAGTCCCCATTGCTCTACAGAGGAGTGTGACCAGATAGACCACTTCATGAAAAGTTGCAGGTAATACTGTTCCCCTGCTACACAAATACTTAAATGCACTCATCCTCTCACCATTTGAAAAAGACTAAGAGTCCAATCCTATGGCCTCCTGAAATTGCCTGGGATTATTTGGCATCCAAGCACCAAGATCCTCTGACTGAAGCACTGGGACTCTGATTGTGGAGCTTCCCCACCCCCCATGGGTGGTACAGAAAGAACCACAGCAGCACTGTCTCCAGGGTCAAAAAGTCACCTCAAAGAGTGATAGGGCATTCTAGGGCACTGGGGAGAAAGTAGGGATCAACAGCTTATACCATATCCAACTGTGGCCTGGCTTTCCTTCTTTCTTCTCCATGGCAATTCATTGAAATAGGCAAGATAGAAATGACCATCCAGGATGCAAGCACTGTGCTTCCCGCCCTGCATTAGGTGTTTGGAGACTTACACATATTGGACTGTGCCCTATGTAGAGATTACCTATTACAATTTGTGGCACTCCAGAAGTTTTGACCTACACTTCCCATCAGTCTTAGCCAACAGTGAAATGATGGGAACTGCAGGTCAAACACAGGAGGCTAATAAATTGCCTGTTCCTTTAACTGACAGTGCTAGTTCAAAACACCACCTGTCTTCAGAAGCTAGGAATGCTAAAGAGACACTAACAGCTGGTAACAGGGTGCAGAAAATGACCACAGTAGGGAATTAAGATTGCCTGGAGAAATAGCAACAACCTCAGATATGCAGATGATACCACTCTAATGGCAGAAAGCAAAGAGAAACTAAAGAGCCTCTTGATGCAGGTAAAAGGGGAGAGTGCAAAAGTTGGCTTGAAACTCACATTAAGAAAACTAAGATCACAGCATCCAGTCCTATCACTTTCTTGCAAATAGATAGGGAAGAATTGGAAATAGTGACAGATTGTATTTTCTTGGGCTCCAAGATCACTGCAGATGGTGACTGCAGCCAAGGAATTAAAAGACACTTGCTCCTGGGGAGGAGAGCTATGGCAAATCTAGACAGCAAACTAAAAAGCAGAGACATCCTCCTGCCGACAAAAGTACGTATAGTCAAGGCTATGGTTTTCCCAGTTGCAATGTATGGCTGTGAAAGCTGGTCCATAAGGAAGGCTGAGCTCCGAAGAATTGAGGCCTTTGAATTGTGGTGCTGGAGAAGACTCCTGGGAGTCCCTTGGACTGCAAGGTGATGAAACCAGTCAATCCTAAAGGAAATCAGCCCTGACTGCTCTTTAGAAGGCCAGATACTGAAGATGAAACTCAAACACCTCGGCCACCTAATGAGAAGGAGCAACTCCCTGGAGAAGACCCTGATGCTGGGAACATTGATGGCAAAAGGAGAAGGGGATGGCAGGGTTTGAGGTGGCTAGATAAGGTCACTGGGGTGGTGGGTGTGGCCTTGGGTAGACTCCGAGGGATGGTGAAGGACAGGAGAGCCTGGAGTAATGTTGTTTGTGGGGTCATAATGGGTCGGGCATGACTTTGGGACTAAACAACAACAATGAAAATACAAAGGAATAAAAATAGCTACTATTAAGATGGAAAAGAGTAACTGGTTCCTGTTCTTTTTCCCAGAGCACCATTCATCACATAATTCTAGTGGGTTTTTATGTATTAGTATTATTTTCATTAATGAATTATCAGTAGCCAATGTGGTGTGGTGTTTAGAGAGCTGGACTGGGGACCTAGGAGATCTGAGTGCTTGTTCTCTCTCAGAAAAGAAGCTCACTAGGTGACAACCCCATCCGAAACAGATTGAACACTCTCCATCCAGTCAGAGAAACCATCCACCAATAACATCTCCATCTTGTCTGAACTGAGTTTCAGTTTGTTATCTCTCATCTGGTCCATTGTTGTGGTGTGGCACTGCTTTGGCACCTGTTGGAGATGAAAAGAATTAGACCTATTTTTATATCTGTATAGAGCTAAATTGATGGCAGTGCACTGCAGAACTCTGTCTCCACTCTGCACTTCCATATAGCTATTAAATAGCATTTGGGACAAAACTGAGCCCATGCTAGATTATCCATGCAGACAAGAATGCTCTGCTGTCAGCCATTTGAGTAGGGGCAGAACCACTGCAATGAAATACCCCTGACTCTCAGCTTAAGATAGTTGTCCCCAAAGGATACCATGGTCAATGGTTCTGAACGCTTCCAAGAGATTCAGTATTATCATCAGGGTCACACTTCTGTTTTTCTCCTGAAATAGAATAAGCAAAGCTATTTCTCTGCCAAAATCTGGCCTGAACCGCAATTGAAATGGATCCAGATAATCAATTTCATCCAAGAGTTCCTGGAGACGGTTGGCTACAATTCACTCAGACAACTGGCTCAGTAAGGAAACCTCATCACCAGCCTAAAATAGTTAGGACATTCTAGGTTCAGGGAGGGTTTTTTCAAGAAAGTCTTCACCACTTCTTCTTTTAGGCAGTGTGGGACCACTCCCTCTTTTCCAGGGAGTCAGCTGCCTGTTTCCCCCTCCTCATTTGTATAAGCTAACAGGGGCATGGGTTCAATATGGATGTGATTGCATAAAGCTGTCCATTTTGTCAACATCCCTCAGTTTTCCAAAATTCTTTGGCAGTACCTTTCGTTCTTAATGTTTGGAGAAGCTTGGAAGCCCAAGGGCAAGCAACTATTTATTAACACATCTTAGCCATAACAATGACAGCTGTCTTTATCTGTCAGAGATGAGCTTCCTTATCTCCTCTTCTAAGAATGCTTTTTCTGGTTTCCAGGAGGGAAAAATAAGTCTGTGGAGCTGGAGGATGTCAAGTTCCACCAGTGTGTACGACTGTCACGTTTTGACAATGATCGCACAATCTCCTTCATACCACCTGATGGAGATTTTGAGCTCATGTCTTATCGACTGAACACACAGGTAAGTCTGGGAGAGAAAAGCCATAGCAGGGCAGGGGTAGGTAACACCCTCCAGTTGTTTTGTACTGCTGCCCTAGTCAGCATAGCCAATGGTAAGAAATTGTAGTACAAAAAGTTGTAGTACAAAACATCTGCTCTTAGAATCTTGTGCTCACTTCTGGCCACCTTACCTGAAAAAGAACATTATTGAGTTGAAAAAAATACAGAGAAGCAGGGCTTTTTTTGTCATAGAGCACACTGGAACAGTGTTCCGGCACCTTTTTTTGACGGATTTTTCCAACAGATTTTTCCAAGTGATTTTGAATCGCCCTGTTGGGTGTAGCAGGTTGGCAGCAAAAATAATTAAAATAGTGCAGGCGGGCAGCTTGTGTGTCCGCGTTGGTTGTGAGGGTGCTGCTAGGCTTGGGACGCTGCTCAGCTTGGGATTGGACGTGTGGTCGCGCGCTGAGTGCTTACTGCCGGCGGTGACTATTATGTTTATGTGTGTGTAGAGTGACTGGCTATGTGCAAAAGATAAATAATTTCTTTATTTTAAAAAAAAGTTGGTGAATTGAAAATCTTTTTTT